TATATATTATTTCATTTTTATATCATTTTCGTTCTTAAATAATATTCAATTCCTTCGGGTTTAAATGAACCTAAGGAAGGATCAAGGACTTATGCATAGTATTTCATAATTAAAACTGAAGATTTTTCTGCAGATCTTCAATAAAAATTTTGTATATGATCGTTAATTACGGATAACTGGACCCATACAAAGATTAACTAACCCAAGGATCAAGCATGCAAGGTTATGTATATATGTATATTGATTGAAATTCTGATTTCAATTGAAATTCTAATTTTTTTGCAGATCTTCAATTACAAATGATATTTATATACTTCAATACCACTGGACCTCCCAATTTGATGAGTTTACTAGAAGAAAAGGAAGTACCCTGAGGCATGCATAATATTATGGCAAGACTGAGAAGAGTGAGCATACTTTGGGGCGTCCAGGCTCCAGTGGCCTATAGACAGGTAAATTGGCTTTTGGCCCTGTCAGGGCTTGGCTAACTTGGCAAGCCAAGGTCGTGAAGAGATAGAGCCATGTCTTCTAGAAGGAGAAAGAAAGTTCAAGAGAGTGAGCAGCATTACAGGGAGTAAGACAGAGAGAGAGAGAGTGAGAGTGAGAGAGAGGGAGAGCGAGTGAGTGAGAGGTAGCTGTTGCCTTGGGGCAGGCGTACGGTCAGGTAGATTGATTTCTATGAGTGCGCTTTGAGTGAAATCTTCTCATTGGATAAGCCGCAAGTGAGCCTGTTGCCTACCGACACAGCGATGGCGACACACACACGCACACAGAGAAAGAGAGGGAGGGAGCGAGAGAGACGAGTGACCGAACAGGGACCGGCTTAAAAATGCTCGACTAGCTGGTTGGTCTGCCTTCTCTTGGTGTACGGTCCAAGAGCTGTGTGTGTGTGTGTGCCTGTGTGAGTCTGTGCGTGTGTGCGTGCGTGTAGAGGATGTATATCAGGTATGTGCACAGGCACAGTCATTGGTAACGAAGAGCGGGGCAGGTCCAGACAACACTCGATCAGGCCTGACAGGCAGGCAGACAAATGGAAATGGACTGGGACTGGCAGGCAGCGCAGCTCACGCACACACAACCACACACAGGCATACATAGAGAGCCGCAGAGTCAGAGGCCCGACCCGACTCTCGACCCGGCCTGGCCCGGGTCTTCAGTCTTCAGTTTTCTTTTACGTACCGTTCGTTTTTCACATGGTCTTTTGGCTCTGTCTCTGACTGACGTCGCGTCGGTCGCTTCGGTTTCGGTTATCGAGTCTCTGGTGTCTGGTCGCAGCCGCAGCCGCTGCTGCCTCTGCCGCTGCCGCTGCCGCTGCTGCCTGTGCTGCTGCTGCTGCTCAACAAAGAAAGCTGGTCGAATTTAGCGCAACTTTTGGTTCAGTTCGGTTTTGTGCCTGGACGTGAACAGTAGTGTCCGCGAGAAGTGTTCTGCAGTCTCACCAAACTATCAACTTTTTTCTTCAAGTGCATTTCGTGTATTTAAAAAACAACAACAAAAACATTTAAAAAAAAGAAACAACAACTGGATCTAACTGCAAATTGTTAATAACAATTTAGCCCGGCGAACTTTGTGTTCCTGTTTTTTTTTCGGACTATAATGCGGTGTGTGTATTAGTTTTGTTTTATTACTATTTTTAATACATCTATAATTAATTTAATTGAAATGCTCATATATATTTGAAGTATTTATTGATTGAATTGAACTTCAAGTCGATTTTCGTATAATTTTCCTTTTCAATGAGATTCGCCAAGAAGGGCAACTGCGCATGCGCCACACGGTTTTTCCTCACTTTGTGCGTTCTCGTCGTTTTTCGTTTTTTTGTTGAATTTTTTGTTTGCTGCAAATGTGAAACAGTTGAAACTCAGTTGAAGTTCCAGTTCATTCCGTAGCCTTTGATCTGTCATACATCATAGTCTTGTTCAAATTGAGAGAATTGAGTTAACTGTTATATCTATAAAAATTCAAAGTTGTTGTTTTTCGTAAAATCTAAAAAATCGAAAAAGCGGAACATTTTGAACGCACAAAAAAAACCCAAAAACCCCCCAAAAAACCTAAATAAAAAAATAAAAAATGTTACAAATTTTAACAAAATTTTTGAGAGACAAGCAAGTTGCATTGCTGTTGCATCCGCACTGTTGAACGAAGAGCAACCCAGACAACACCCCCTCAAAAAAAAAAAAAAAAAAAAAAAAATCACAGTTAAAATTAACTAAAATAACAACAAAAGAAAAAGAAAAAAAAAACTGAAAC